TCATAAATAGACTTAATTGTCTTTTTCGCTCTTAGTATGAGTAGATATATAATATTATGTCAATTGAGAAGTTTGAGAAGCAAAACTTGTAACACATGGAGTGTTAATTTTCATATAGCAGGGGAAGGGTCAACTTGTACCAAAGAGAGGGCAATTGGTCTTTTTTCTTACATATAACATATCCTTGTATTTATATGCAAGTCGAGGATCTATTTGGACGAATGTCTATGCACATTGCTTGCATATGTAATCATGTCTGGTGATGATGTGATGGAAGCTCCTATGAACCATGTCTTTATAAGATGTTTATACTTTATGTCCAACTGGAAGAGAGGAAGGAAAATAAAAGAGAATTCTATTTGGGATGTTAGATCATGTTATCCGTACGGAGTTTGTTTGGTCATGGGGTCCTCCATTACCAAGAAGGCAATCTCGGCCATGGTAATATTAAGGGTTTGGATGTCTTTTTTATAAATAGAAAGAACACTTATTTTTTAAGGATTTTATATAAATATATCAATTTTTTCTTAATCACTCTGTTTAATTTATCCGAAATGGTTAAATATATACAAATACAAAGTAACTTATCCATGCTTAATGTTTTCTTTCAGCACCCTTGATTAGATGCATCTACATAATTTCTTTGGCTATAATATTGAAAAACTATAAGTGTACTACGTACTATATATAATCAAATAATGTTAGAAATGAACTACCTGGCTTGGTTACCAAAATCTCACATACCCTTTCGTGGCATATTTATTTATGAAAATGGATCGAAGAAAATTTCGGTGGTGAGGATGCATACATTCGATGAATTTTCATCCTAACGAAACAATCAGCTAGCTTTCCAAGTCCAACATCAATGGCCCTTTTGAAATGACAACCCAATTAAGGTTATACCTCTTTCACGTGGCCTCTAGCTTCAAGTCATTAATTACGTGCGTCATGTATGTTTTTGCTTTAGATTTTTTTTTTAAAAAAAATTAGAATTTATCTTGATTCTGATATTTTTATCGAAAATGATTTTTTTAATTGATAATATTAAGATTAGATAAATTAATATTTAACTAAAAATTAAATTAATTATATACATATTATTTTTAAACACAAACTCGTATAACGAAACTAAAACAAATTTTAATATCAATGTAATTTTTTTATAACACAAATTGGTCACTATACAATCTTAATACTACGTACATTTTTATATTTTTTGTATTTTCCTTATAATTAAAATTTACTCCACACTCAAGTTATTACAATATTTTTCTTTAAAAAATCATATCTAGTACTTTCTTTTTTAATGACAAAATAGTATTTTTAATGTATGGTTATATTTTTTTTAATAAAATCTCTGTGCCATTAAATGATCATATTTTTAGTGTTTTGTGGAAGATTAATCTAGTTTATTTACAATTAAGGAAAGAGTAACGAGACATCTATCGGAGCAGTACGATTTGTGTCAAGGACTGGTTGGCTCCTACTTTAGTTGCTTTGATCAGTAAAATTGATTCATTCCTAAAAGAAAAGAACAAAAGATAGTAACTGGGCTCGCTCTTCATCATATGTCAATCAATCTATCAATAAAGTTGGAAGAAATTGATAGGCCAACTGTTTGCATAAAAAGTCGAAATTTCTAGCTGGTAAGCATTAATGAAAATTGAAATGCATTAAGCTAGTGTGTGTAGCCTCTGATAATATTCAACCGCGCTTGTAGGTAGCTGGATGAAAGTACAGAAGGATTAGATGTACTAGTATCTTTATCTGTACATCTACTTAGTGGTAGAATCATAGTAAGGCAACAATGCTTCCTCTCTTCTCAATCTGTCACCCTCTAGTTAATTAAAGGGAGCCTCATCGCCAGGCATATTGTGTGTGTGTGTGTATATATATATATATATATATATATATATATATATACTGCAGGCCTGCAGGGTGACTGACCGACTATATTCGCAGCAATAAATGTAATTTAATTGAGTTTTTTTTTTTTTTTTCATTCACATGTCTTCGTGGCATATAAATGATTATATTCGAATAAAAATAATAAATTTTAATATTTTTTTAATTAATTTAGAATTTAAATTATATATATTGATAAAAAATTTATCTAGAAATCAATTTATTTATTATTAAATTAATAACTTGGTGAGTTTTTTCTTCTCCTGCCATAAAATATTATCACGGAAAATGAATTTTTGGCAGTGATGAAATTAGCCCTTGTGAACGCTCATGAGAGTTGATACGTTTGATAGGCAGACTTTTTGAATGAGTGACTAGCTGAGAAGTGGAAGTCATAAAAAAGATTAATATGAAAGGGAAATTCAGAGGGCGGTCTTAATTACGGAACCAATCCAAGCTTATAAGATTAAGGTTTTGAAACAACGATGTTAAAATTAGGTGCGGGGAAAAGGAATCAGATAATGTTATTATTTGAGATTCACTGGAAGAGAGATTTGATAAAATTTTATGTTTTGACTGAAGATTCAACCTTCGTTAAACTTTAGGCAAGTTGGAGGAACATGTCCTCTCGTAGCTTTATTAGAACTTTTGAGGAGATGTTAGAGGAGAGAACAATTATTTTGAGTCTGATAGATTCAAATATATATTGTCAAGTTTTTTTGGATAGAAGATTTTTTTTTAATCTGTTAATTATTCCTGCAATTTACTCGTTACAAAACCTGTTATTGCATATATTTTTATAGAAGTATACTATTATAATCAACATGCCATGCATGCATTTTAAATATATACAATCTAATGCACAAATGTAACTGTTATGATTATATTGAGATATGAATTGTAAATAGAATAAAACTCTATTCAACTCTTTTACTTCTTAGATATACATTATGTAAATCTTTTATGTAATGTATCATGAAGTTACGTTAATTCAATATTATATATATATATATATATATATATATATATATATATATATTTAACAAAAGAAGTGATCAGAACGAACAAAAAAACGTGATTTGTCTTAAACCCATATTTAGTCTTCTAAAGTTGCCAATCAATTTGGAAGTGTTTAATGTGAAATCAATATAATGGGAATTGTGTGTTTAACTAATGATAGGTTAAAATCGTCTATACTTTATGAAATTGTCGTATTATGTCGCCGTCCTGTTCATAAAAAATAAAAATAAAACTAGGGTAGGAAGAGTTTAATCATAGAAAAACATTTAAAAAAATATTATATTTAAAAAGCTCAATAATATATTCTTAAATCTTTCGAATTTAAAATATATTTTTTATCAAAACATTCAATAATTAATTGATGTCAAATTAAGAATTAATTATCCAATATTATGATAAAAAAATATTATTTTAGATTGGAGATATTTAAAAATATATTGTTTTATTTTTTAAATAGACAATTTTTTAGAATGTTTTTTTCTTGGTAATTATCTCTATAATAAACTATTGTTATATAATAATTAAGAATATGTTGGTATGCATATATATACCAACTTATTGATTCTTTGAAGAATATTAATTACTATATTTTGTTAACTATTTAATTACAAAAGAAAAATTAATGATCTTATTTAAAATGCTATTAATATTTCAGCTTCGTGGTGTATCGCCTTTGGTCCTCTGAGTCAAAGCAGCCATGAGAATCTGTCACAGGTTCATTCTCTAAATTTCACGTCAACAGAAGTACCAAATTGTTGTCTCTTGCAAACAGTAACCATCAATTGTGATGCAAATTAAGTTGCACTTGGAGAAAAAAGTATGTCTGGCCAAAAAATGCTAAGAGTTTTGCCGACCTTAGTACCTTAATAAGAATAAGAAAACCCAATTGTCAATCCTTAAAAGTGACTAATTTATAACTATGCGACTTTAGACTTGCTTGCTAACTTTGTTTGATTTGCCGGTATTCATTTATTGTGCCGTTGAATTTTGGTTTGATTTTTTTTTCTTTTGCATTCTGTTTTCTTTTTAAATCCTTATGTTATTTCAAGTTTAAACATTCAAATTAATTTTTTATTATTCGATAGAGCATATAAAAAGAATATTTTTATCCAAAGAGCTTTTTATATATACATACTCAAATCTAAAATCATTTATTTAAACGATTAGAGCTCTTTTTGTTCATATTAATTTTTTTAGATCCATTGTTGTTTCCTTTAGTCATAAATTTTGGCTACTTATATATGTAACTTTTGTAGCTTGTCACCTTAATTATCTCATTAAAAACAACAACGATAATAATAATTTTTTTTTCTTATACAATAGATTTTAATTAGGAGTATAGTGAGAAAATGCATGTAATACTTTGATTAAGATAAATATTTGAGATCAAAATAAATAAATAAATAAACAAGAAAATCTCTTTAGGATGGAAAAAGTAATTTTATGCCCAAACATCTGGTCAATTCATTTTTGTATATATAAATTAAAGCATATTTAATTAAGTGTTATATAAGTTTCTTTAACTTGAGTTGAGTTAAAAGCACAGAATGTATTTATACCGTCACCGTCTTCAAATAAAGTAGGTTCGACAGTAGCACCATGAACAGCGCATAGCAAAGTAGTGGTGTAGTAGAGCCAGTACACCGACAATTCCCATTATATAAAATGGGTTCAGCCCCCAGTTACGAAATCCTTCAATATATATATATATATATGAATAGAAATATAGCTGCTATGTAAGACAGCCAAATACTTATTCAACTGAGATGTTATGGCCATGTAAAGCAACACCCACACACATTTATCTCTTAAACCTAATCTTCAACTACCTCTTCATTATAGATCCTCAACTGGTTTATCAACAAGCTCATTCACATAAATGACGAGGTCGGTGCCAACCACAAAGTCCAAATGTAACAGTAACAACTTCCTTGTACACATTGAATGGCCGTTAATGCCTATTGGTTCATGGGATATAATCCTTGTTGAATATCAGTAATATTTCTCTCCTCTCCTCTATGGTATATATACATGGCACTGACCGTAACAAAAACCAAACCAAATTGATCATATTCATGGGAACCCAATGCCTAGAAACCCCTCCTCTCCTTCAAGACCTCAAGGTCACAATCCAAAGCTCTTCTTTGGTTTTTCCAAACCAAGAAACAGCTGAGAGAAAATCCATGTTCTTGTCAAACATCGACCAAGTGCTCGATTTCAATGTCGAAACGGTCCATTTTTTTGCATCCCACAAAGATTTTCCTGCTCAAGCTGTAGCTGAGAAAATAAAGAATGCACTTGAGAAGATATTGGTACCATATGATTTCTTGGCTGGAAGATTGAAGTTGAACACTACAACGGGTCGTTTAGAGATTGATTGTAATGGGGCAGGAGCTGGCTTTGTGGTGGCCTCCAGTGAGTGTACATTGGATGAGATTGGAGACTTGGTTTATCCTAATCCAGCATTTGCTAAGCTAGTTGTTACCAGTTTGGATAGCTTGGAAAAAAATGGCAAACCACTATGCATTATCCAGGTAATTAAGGGTGTATATTACAAACATGCATGCTAATGCGATTTAGATGCTTCTTTTAATTAGCCTCGTAGCTATATAGTGTTTTCATAATTCAAATGGATCATGTCTAGCTTTTGGTAATTTGCAAATGATCATTGCTTCTGCCTCCTTCCATGCAATATGGACCGGATGAATTTTTGTTTAACCAATTGTGAGACGAACGTGATGTGCTCATGCCAATAATGGGATCAATCTCCTGTCCAATTTCATAGAGAATTGAGGGACACTAGGTACATTTTTGGCAAAAGGGTTTTTAGGACTTTTTCCTTCAAAATAGTTGTAAAAGATGTTTGATAAAATTTTAAAATATCTTTTGAAAACTATATGAACGTCTAAAGTCAAAAGCTAAAAAGGGGAATTTCTAGGTTTTTAGGTCTTATCTAACATAAAAGTATTTTAACAATAAATATTACCAACTTTATATATATATATATATATATATATATATATATAGTTACAACTACGATCACAATAAAATTACAATTGAAAGCTACAGTTTTTTTAAACGGATTTACTATACAAAACCTCTCTTAGGAGTGCGATAGCTAGGTAATACCTTTAACAAACCTAAATAATTAATGCCCCAGCCCTTTTTTAGGTTGGAAATAATAAACATTTTTTAAAGTACGTAGAACTAATTTGCAATCATTTACAGGGAGATAGATTCCCGTGGCATTTACAAAAAGTTGAAAGCAACTGCAGGAAGAGCTCTGGGTACCATGTGATTTTTAGCTTTGCTTTGGCAGTTTGATTAGCAATAAATTGATTTAACTCAATATAAAACTTGAAATATAGAATTTAGTTTGTCCAAATCTACAAATAAAGGGATCAATTAGTGTAATTTTTAGTGACTTTTCCCAAGTTCTCGTGCCACATTAATTTACCTCACTTTTCACTCAAACCAAATAAAATTAATTTTTCTCTCGCATAAAGTTGTAAAACAAAAAAGATAAAAAAAAAATTAAAGAATTTTTTGTATTATTTTCTAAAATTTACGACTCTAGTTTATATTTTTCTTAATTGGATTACTCTTTTTAAAATGAGATGATTTGATCAAATAATAACCTCACCGACATATAATTTTTTATATTTTTAATTGATGATTATGGTCTATCTAATCTAATGGTTAAATTTTATTATGTAAAACATTTATCACTTAAAACGGTATGGCTACTTTAATTAGCCAGGAGAAGAGTAATTCTTTGCATTATACGTCAATACGTTACAATAATTTTGTCATCTGCCTGCCAACTTTCACATGTTTTTGGGGAACCTTATCATATTTCTTAATTGACTTGTGACATGAATCTTTGAAATAAAATATTAGAAAAGATACGTTTATAGTTTTTATCTGTGGCTATACTTCAAATTACGATTTTAATTAAAACCCCACCAATATATATATATATATATATATATAGAAAGTCCATTCAGTCTTGATTTGAAACCTATTAATTAATAGACATTTTAATTTTTAACTTTTCTTAACGATCGAATTGTCCCCTTGGGGACAAAATTTTATTTTTCATTAATTCAGTAGGAGGCATATTACGAATTGAGTAACCTTGCCGTTTACATTTCGGTATGAAAACCATCTGGCCTTCAAATATTTTTCCAATTTCCAGAACATTTTTTAATAAAACAATCACAAATTTTTATTTTCTCAATAATTGTAAGAATATATGTGAGGTGAGATTAAGCTCCATACATGGTACGAATGAATCTATTATAAATGTTCTTTTCCAGGTTAATGTATGCATCTCCTTCATTTGCAGGTAACATCATTTAAGTGTGGTGGCTTTGCAATGGGCACGTCGACCAGCCATGCAACTTTTGATGGGATAAGCTTCAAAGCTTTCTTAGAAAACTTGGCTGCCCTAGCTGGTGGCAAACCCCTGGCTGTCACCCCCTGCAACGACCGGGAACTCCTAGCCGCTCGATCTCCACCATCTGTCACCTTCCCTCACCCTGAATTGGTCAAACTTCAAGGCCAAGAGTTGAATGCTCCAGTCTTTGATGCCACCCAAGAAGCACTAGACTTCAAGATTTTCAGGCTACGCTCCGGCAACATCTCCGACCTTAAAGAGAAGGCCAAGACTAATCCAAATGCCCGCATTTCTGGCTTTAATGTGGTAACTGCTCACATTTGGAGGTGCAAGGCGTTGTCGCATGATACGGAAGACCAGGATCTCGATAGGGTGTCTACAATTCTTTATGCTGTCAACATAAGGCCACGATTGATTCCTCCTTTACCAGCATCATACGCTGGAAATGCAGTGTTAACTGCTTATGCAAGTGCTAAGTGTAGGGAGCTGCAAGAAGGGCCAATTTCTAAATTGGTGGAGATGGTAGCAGAGGGCTCAAAGAGAATGACCGATGAGTATGCGCGGTCTGCTATAGATTGGGGTGAGATTTACAAAGGATTTCCACATGGGGAGTTCTTAGTATCATCTTGGTGGAAATTAGGATTTGATGAAGTGGACTATCCATGGGGGTGCCCCACGTACTGCTGTCCTGTGGTATACCACAGGAAGGATATTATCTTGCTTTTCTCGGATATTGATGACAAGAATAGCGTCAATGTTTGGGTTGCGCTCCCCAGGAAGGAAATGGAAAAGTTTGAAAGGCTCTTCCACAAGTTCTTATCGGCTTGAAAGTTGAAGTTTATAATAACTACTAGTTGAGTAATAAATATTTATAGTTTGGTTGCCGCTAGCTTGTGGGCGACAGTGATAAAGGAAGAAGAAAGGAAGGAAGAAATAAAAATTACTTACGGGGCAGTCAATCATTAATATATATATATATATATATATATACACCTCTGGTATTTTGTAATCTAATAAGTGTTGTTATGTTTGTTATGATCACTATCTCAAATTGTCAATGTTAAGTGATTGTCTAAAGAAATGTTTCAGCTGCATATATATGAATATACTGATTCTAGCTAGAGAAAAATGACTAAATAATCAGCAATGTCCTCCAGTTATGTTAAGAGAATTATTTGTTATATGATTGACTTAGTCCACGTTTTTCATTTGGACTAATTACTTTGAATTCATAGAGGTGTATTCTTTTCGCTGATAAATGTTTTACTAATTAATATTAGGCGGATTGGATAAGATTAGTTGCTACTTTGAAATTAATTTCAAATAAAACTAAAAAGTAGCTAGCTGTCCGAAAATGTCAACGGAAAGGGGCCTCTCTAATCACAGCCCATTATAAAGTGACCCACAAATTTAAATATTCGGCCCCGCCATCTCTTTTTGTGAAATCGGGCCATCCATCTACAACGCGCCCTAAAAATCTTCACGAGACAGAGTGCTCCTTTAAACCCCGGGACGGAGCATAAGGCTCGCTTACTGGATCAAAGCAGAAGAACTAGAATATATGGGCTTGAAATTAGGCCCAATCTATCTGAGTCCAGTCTCGGTCCTCTGCACTGGACCCAAAAGTTCTCCTGAGCCCTTTGGGTTTCCGCTGTCTACTTTAATCAAATGCAACTACCATGCTGCCGAACAAATTTACAGAATTGACAAAAGGGCAGATATTTAAATAACTTCACCACAAGGGTAATCTTATTCATGTGTTTGTTCGGTGACTTTAACATTCAAAATACAGTATACTTATATTTAAGTATCTTAAAATAATGACCTGAAAGCAGAAGATCAAATGTTAAAAATATGTATTGATTTCCGGTATAGAGCAATGATTAAAACTCGATGTTTCTTGTTAGAAGCCTCAAATTCAAATCATGAGACGCATGGGATGAGTTCTACGGACCTTTTCTAGTAGCTAAAGGCACGTTGGACTTCTCCACGAACCAAAAGAAATAAGATTCTTATATATTTTTATTTTTTTTATTAAAACGCGAATGGGTAGAAAGGGATGGGGGTCGAACTAGCAACCTATCGTGATATAATTGGAAAACAAAAATAAAGTTAAAGTTATTGATGAGGTAACAATCTTCGAATTCACGTGGGTGGTTGCACGACTTTTAATTCAAGTTGATGTACCTTGTTGTATATTTAACCAATATATAGTACATGCAAAAAAAAATATTTTACAGTTTGAAATACCATTGATGACTAAGTTAACATTTAGAAATATTTGTTTAACTTAAACATGCTTGATAATAATTAACTATTGATAAGAAAAGATATGTGATCTAATATTTATTTTTAATTTAAAAAGTAGAACTTATAACACTTTATATGTTAATTTTTATATAGATAAGACTGCAATTAACTTGTATGAAATGTAGGATATGTTGATCTCTTTCTTTGTACTCGGTAGGTCTTGATGTTCATTTACAAATTTAGGATTTTTTTTAAGTGAATGTTGTTATCTAACTACACATGTTCAATCATATTTGGTGGCCATACAAAAAGGACATTCCAAAAACTACTCATTTATTAAATATATGTCATTTTTGTCTATCGAGTAAGGGAGATGGTGTCTTCTTTAGTTGGGTCTTTTGCTCATATGAGTCGTCTATCGTTGTCCAGTTTGTGAGGCCTTATGAGAAAGAAAAGGCTTGTAGCTTAATCTAGTCTTTTGAGATATTCTATGGCTTAATGCTAGAGCATACCACAAAAAATCTTTCAAATTCTTATGTCGATCCTCATGTGCAAAACTACACAACAAACGTATCAAACACGATTTTAATTCGAATGCGGCTTCTAAGTTAAGAGTTATTGATTTAAATGAGGAGTGCTCGACTCTTTCATGGTCCTATAATTGGTAGTCATGTCTTCTAATTCTAAATCACTAAATAAACTATTAGAAGTTAGATCAATAACTATGTCAATACCAAGTGATGAAAATCTTGTTACTTCAAATGTTGAAGCAACAACTTGGCTTGTAAGAGTATCCAAAACATTTCTTCCCAATCGATGCAATGTTTTCTTAATTTTTAGATTAAAATTCAATCAACTAATATGAGAGGATCGAGTCATAAAAAAATCATAAAATAAATAAATAATATATGGATGAAAAACATGAAAATTGCCAAAAATCTTATCAAATGTTAGAATTGGTGCCTAAGAAGGTCGGATTAATGGCAAAGCCACAAATTTGTAGTATTGGCAAGTTTAAATCAAACTATAGAGAATGGTAGATCAATTCAGTTAAATATAAAACAAGAGATAAGTTTGTTTGTATGCCGAATTAAAAATAAAACATAATTCAAATAAGAAAAAGTTTCAATTTAGAGGAACTTTAGTTCAAGAAAAAAATCACACATTCAATTTGCAAATTAATCATAGTCTCTTAAATTATTGTTCTCTCATTAAATACTTAATCTATATTTATTTAGACACTAGAACAAATCTAAATCTTTCCCGTATTTATAATTCAAAACTCAACATCCAAATTAAACTATTGTTATAAATTGATTCCGGCATTAAGAATTCCTTGTCAAATTAATAATATCATTATGAATTAGGAAGAAGTTAAGAATTAACAACAATTTTAGAATGCTTAAATTATATAATTCATTTTTATGTTTTTCTTAGGTAATCATGAAAACTTAATTTGCTACTTGTACTAACTTTTCATAATAATTATGAATTAAAAAAAGTTAGATAGCTATCAATCACAACGAGTAATTGACTAATTAGCCGCTTAGATAATTATCTATGCAATTATAATGAATTAAATTCAAAAATCAATTAATTAAGTTCGGAGACATAGTCGATATCAAATCATCATAAATCATCAAGAATAATTCAAAAATCAAAATCGTGTCTCACAATCTTTTGTAAATTGAACCTAAAATATCCCGAATCGAATTAATAAAAATTAGCCAAGCATTGTATAATGTATAAAACCCTAAATTATGTAAAGAAAGCAAGTCTCCGTATTTATGTAAATCTAGAGCCTATTTATACATGTTTATAAATAAATATGATAGCTCACGAGTTCTATTTAGGATTATTTCTAAAATTAATTAGGATTTGTTGCTTGAATAAAACTTCGAGGCTATGTAGTGAAACTTATAAACTTATTAGATAGAAGCTGATTTTGCACTTGGTCTCCTCATGAACATTTGAGGTCTACATATCTTCTTTCTGCAAGATTTTAAATCATCTCAATCCAATATCTAGAACTCCGCTATGATCCAAACATTGATCGAGTCTTATGAATTATCATGAGATCTAAATTTCTCACCCGACTTTGCAATCGATCGTGACGAGTGCAAAACATATTAGATTTATGCATTTACACCCAATTTGAAAAGTTTAAGATACCCACTTCAAACCTTAAAAAGGCTTTTTTTTACGTTTTGGAGCCATGTCTTCCTCTAAAAGTAAATCGCCGACTTTGAAATTTCGCCTTAATTAGCTCATTTTTGCTCATTTATCTCCAATCTTCTCCTAAGTCACAAAATAATTTAATCAGCATTTATACCCTAAAAACACATTAAAAGACTAAATATAAGATAATCAATGTAATAAATAATGCTCATTATCAAACGCGATAGAATTTTTCGTTGTTAGTCACGAAGAAGCTTGGAGGCGAAGAAATAGAATAGTTTTAGGATTGATTTTTTGCTCAATTTTTCAAAGACGACGCCACCGATGAAGTTGTTATTTTTATATTAACATTGATAATTGGATTGATTTTAATCCAAGCTAATCGCTTGGTTGATGTAGCACATTATATGTTTAATCGAGTAGTGTACATGCGAAACAAATTATTTTCTTATGTTTGAAAAACTCTTTGATGGATAAGTTAGAGTATGGAGAGAGGCATTTAATCCGAATAGACTTAATAATATTTAGCTTTTAATAGAAAAAATATGATATAATATGTATTTTTTAACGGATAAAATATAACTTGTAACATTTGGTGTGTTAACTTTTATATAAGCAAGGAGTAATTAACTTGCATAAAATAGAGAACAAGTCAATCTCTTTTTTATACTCAATAGCTCCTAATATACACTTGGAAATTTAAAATTCTTTTAAGCGAATATCATTGTCTAATAGCGTATGTATAATTATATTTAGTTTTGATGTGACATGAATATTCTAAGAAATTATGTCTTTATTAAATATATGTCTTTTTTATCTACGAAGCAGAAGAGATGATGTTTTTTTTATTCGGACCTTTTGTTAATTATCTTAGATTTACCTAGTTGCGAGACCTCTCGATAACTAGTTGGAGTTGTTTTATTCATGGGAATGTCTTGCCTGAATGATTTTTGAAAAGGTTAAGAAAACCCGTGTTACTATAGCAATCATTTGAATGCATCGGTAATGATAATATAAAATTTCATATTATTATTATTATTATTATTTACTAATCTAACATCCATGTATATAAAGTTTCACGTGTCATAAAACTAATTTGGAGGACTAGGATGTTACAATGTACATAATTTGACGGTACGCTTTAGTTTTTATGTGCATAGATTATGTTTTCTTGCAACCAGAAAAATTACTAATTGTAGCGAAACGAATTATGGTGCTGATATATAAGCTGCCAATGTCGGGTTTGGACATTGTTACGCATAGCTATTTTTTTCCAAGCATACATGCATGGGTATTTTAGCTAGACCACATTTTATCCCATGTTGTTAGTTGTATCTTTTCTGTAGTGTTATTTTCTAAAACTGTGTTTTTCAGGCACTGCTACAATGAGGAACATGCAG